AAAGATGTGGCCCAATATTTTTGCAAGAAGAGCAGGGACATGTAGAATAGGGACGAAGAGTATTCTTTAAAGCTGTACAGCACATGAAAATTTCCAAAGTTGCCTGAAAAATTCAGCAAAATCATTGTGATCCAGCTGAAGCCATTGCTGCAGTGCCCGGATTGTAGCCTGTGAGTTGAACAACGAATTTGGAGTATCAGGACTGTGTTACATTAGAATGTTGCAAATTTTGCAGGGGTGTGAGTGGGTGTTTAACAAAGAGCATTAAAATGGACTCACTAGTATTTTTGTTTGTTCCCGTCAGCTAGATATAGTGGCAAATCTGTACCAAAACCATATTGACATTAAAGCGTAAAAAGTGAAGAACCAAAATATGAGATTGTAATGAGGCGTGTATAATCAATGTACATATATTCCCATCTTTCTTAATCTAAAATCTTCTGAATTTCTTGGATTATAACTTCCAGTTTTCCTAGCTAAGAACATTTTGAGGATGCCTGTAGGGGTAGAATGTTGCTATAGCGGCTACTCTGATGTCCTCAGAATGAAAAGCAATATATCTCTGAACACTAATTTCTGAAGTTGAAATGGCTCTTGCCCACATGACCTACTTATTTCTTGAAAGAGCCACCATCTTAGCTACTATGGAATGCTGGCCGACATAGATTTTTTTATCAGATCCAGCAGACTTCGTCTTTTTTTTAAAAAAAGACAACAAAAATCAAACCCTTGAACAAGTGAGGTCACTTTTCTCTTTTCAACTGCTGTGGAGGAAGGAATTTCAGGTGTGATGTGGCAAATTAAAAGCAAGCATTGCAATCCAAAATTGAGACATCAGTTTGATTTTACAAATGAATTAATCAAATCCATTCTTGCATTAATCAGAGGGATCTTAATATGGAAGCCGTATCTAGATAAATAAAACTTGTACTGTATTGAGAGTCTTCTGTGGTTTAATGTCTAATCCCTAATAAGTCTAATTATTACTATTTTGCAGTGAACTTTGCAAACAATGTACTTTCCACCCACAGTTTGAGGGAGGAATACAAACATTTTAATTATCTGATTATTTAGATTCTATACAATACTGTGGTGTACTCTTTTGTTATCTTAATATACAGTATAGCTCATACTGTATATGAATGCCTTTTATTCATTCTAGTATCAGACAAGATCATATGCACATACAGTATATTACACACATGTACATATACTGATCAGCCCAGTTGGAATTCAGTATCACAGAAGCCCATTAAAAATGGCTTCATCAAGTTGATTTAAACATAAAAAAAGATTTTTTTTATGTTTAAAAAACATTTCCTTTATTCTTGAAGCTCAGGCAGTGCATGCCATGGCTTACATAGTTAGAAATAAGTTTGCTCCAAAAAGAAGAAGAAGAAGGATAAGGAATTCTAAAACTGCAGACTTCCTCCCATTATTACTAAAAGAAAAAAGAAAAAAAGATCTTAAGAATGGAGCCTTCAAAACGTTCCAGTGAAGGTTGAACAAATTGAACATTTAGAAAACTTGGAAGGGAAGGGAGCAGTTATGATACAATGTGAACTAAATAACTGAGGAAGTGGGAAAGGAAAGAAACAATTAGATTTCAGAATGGTATCGTTCACCCTACCTTTTTTTCTGTCACTTATTCTTCTATTATAGTTCCAAGGATAGGCACATTTTGCCAATTTCCTCATTCCACAGAACCGTTTCCTGCTTATAAAGCACAGTATGAGCATTTATTCTCAGCCCATGATTGAGACAGGTTTAACTTGATCTTAGTTTTAAAGTAATGTTTTTCCCTTGACCAGTGGGAATTTAAGGGAAAGAGCAATCTGCTGAGCGTCCCTGCCCATGTTGCTAGGTGGGCAGCACTCTCAGGTATATCAGAGGAAGCAAGATGAATCCTGCATCAGTTGGCTATCTGGGAGTGCCTTGAACCCCACACTTCCTTCCTTTCTGGAGAGTGAGCAGACGGGACATGTACTGGCTGCTTGGTACCTGCAGAATGAGGGAGATGCACAGCAAAGGTTTTCAAAACAAGCTGGTAGATAATGGACTGGAGGGTTGCCCAGTAAAGACTGATTTAACTGGCATCTCCCATCCACCGTATGCATCAGCTAGACTTTCTAGAACCAGGGTAGATGTGGTGTGATTCCTCTGGTCGTACTTGATAACTTAGCAGCTTTTAATGCCATTGATCACATATCCTTTTGAGCAAACTCTGGGAGTTGGGGGATCCTGGATCTCTTCCATCAGGATTGGTTTTAGGTGGTGTTGAGGAGGACACCTTGAGCCCAAATGCCCTTGATTTGCGGGTTTCTTGTTGTTTGACATTCTCCCCGGTCCTATTTAATATCTATGTAAGTGCTGTCATTTGATAGCACTAATTCAAGTATCATCAATATGCAGATGATACACAACTGTATATCTCAAGACAAGGTTGAAGAGGTGAAACTGCCAAGGCCCTGTCCTTGTGCCTGGAGGCTCTTGGGATCTGAATGGTAGGAACAGATTTGGGCTTAACACTAGGAAGAATGACTAGAAAGAATCCTGTTGTCAGTGAAAGTTCTCCTAGATTTTCAGCAATTGTTTGAAGAGCAACTGGGGGTGTGGACAGGAGGGCATTTGCACAAATACATTTGGTCTGGATTGGGAGGCCTTTCTCATGGTTACTCTTGGCTTAGCCATTGTTTGAATTATTGCAATGTACTATACTGTTCTTGAAGACCAGTTAGAAGCTGCACATCATCCAAAATGCAGTGATATAGGAGTAGTTTGGGACATACTTTAGTTTACCCATGTGATACTTCTACTTCATAAGCTGCAATGGTTACCATTTCATTCCAGGTGTACTTCAAAGTGCTAGCATTCATCTATAAAACAATGTATAGCTGGGGATCTGAGTAGCTATGGAAGTGCATTTCTCCAGTGGTTTTATGGCCAGTCAGTAAGATCCAGGAGGATTAGTACAGACCAGATCCCCACTGTGAAGTGATACTGTTTTGTAGGACCCAAGAGACATGTATTTTTGTAAGTGCCCCTGTTCTTTGGAATAGCAGTCCTCCTTTAATCCATACAGCCCTTACACTAATGACTTTTAGCTTTTCTGGCAGGAGCTGGGAGAGAGTGATTTATAACTTCCATGGAGACTTCTTTTTAAATGGTAATTTTGTTCCTTGACATGGTCCTTCTCTATCTGTTTCATACATTGTTGTATTTCTGCTTTCAAGCCTTATTTTCTTGTTTATCCTTTTTTTTTTTTTTGAACTGGGTAAAATAGGACAACATTTCATATGTGGTGCTTTGTGCCAAGTGATCTTTTGCCATAAAGTTCACAGTGACATCTTTCTTATGCTTCACTGTCAAGAGTTTTAAAGATTATCTGGTTCCTTTACTTGCTGCTTTTCACTTATGACTCCATCCTCTCATCTCTAGTATTGAAAAATCAATACTATTAATTCATGGCTACAAATGAAACAGGACTTCCTACTTTAGAAAAAAAATATTTGGCAGATTTGTGTTGCATCCAGCAATAGAGGAACTGGTCTGAATGTTGTACCTACCTTGAAAAGGGAGTCGTGTGGGTGTGTTTATGTGTTGTGTAGATATTGTATATTTCTTGGAGGATGTGTAAGTTGACCAGCGGGATATCCCCAGGGTGTGATCAAACAAGCCCATATGGCTGTGCTGTGATTAAACCTTAAACTCCTTCTTATCTTCTCATCACAATTCCCATAAAAAATAAACAAGTGGAGCTTTGATTGCATCATCACGCCCACCATCTTGACTTATTACCCATACATTGTGGGCACTGCTGTAGATCACAATTCTCTTTCTTGAATGTTTAGCACCAGTGTCTTGAGTGTCCAGGACAGTGTTTTTCAATCTTGGCAACTTTAAGATGTGTGGACTTTAACTCCCAGAATTCCCCAGCCAGCATGTTGGATGAGGAATTCTGGGAATTGAAATCCACACATATTAAAGTTACCAAGGTTGAGAAACACTAGTCTAGGATCCAAATACTGTTTTATATTTTAGCTCCAGGTTGTAACTTGTTAGGATACCTACCGGTATCTATTGTTTCACTCTCAATATAGGTAGTGTCAAGTTTCGAAACACTGTTTTGCTGGTGTGACAAATATTGCTTCTCAGCTTGCCAACGAACTTGGGGGGAGGAGAGAAGTTTGGAACCTCACAACATCAGAACACAGTGGTTAATCAATAGGTTCTATGCGAAGTACCCACAACTGAGCCCCAAATTTATGTTGCTAAGTGAGAAATTTGTTAAGTGAATTTTGCCCCGTTTTATTATTTTTCTTGCTCTTGTTAAGCGAATAATTGAAGTTGCTAAGTTAGTAACACGGTTGTTAAGTGAACCTGGTTTCCCTATTGACTTTGCTTGTCAGAAGGTGGCAAAGGGTGATCACAGGACCCCCAGGACACTGTGACTGTCATAAATGTGAGTCAGTTGTCAAGCATCCAAATGTAAACCACGTGACCATGGGGGATGCTCATGAGTGTGAAAAATGGTCATGAGTCACTTTTTTCAGTGCGGTTGTAACTTTGAACGGTCACTGAGTGAACTATTGTAAGTCGAGGACTACCTGTATTTACGTTTTTACATAAACTTATATTGCAGAAATCCCACCCATTGCCAAAGCTTTTCCAAAGAACCAAAGCTCTTCCTTTGTTAGGGGCCTACTGTAAAACAGAACTAATAATATAATACAGAATTACTGAATAGATGCAGAATACTTGTTTCATACTTTTCAAAAAACCATCTGAACACCCACTGATCTGTGGGAGTCAGGAGGCAAGAAGACTTCAAAACAAAAGGTGTACTTTGAGAGCCAATCTAAGTCTCAATATTCATGTAACAAGAAACCCGTCCTTTGGAAGAAAAAATATTTGGCATAAATAACCTTTGTGCATCTTTTTTGAGCATTATCTAACCATCTCAACCTTTCCCTCTCGTTTCTCCTTCCTTCCTTGCCCAGTCTGCTCATGCGGTCTCAGTGCTCAGAGAATGTGCGAAGCTACGTCCTGCAGATCCCACTGTCCCTCTCCTGGCCGCTAAGGTCTGCATTGGACCTCTACACTGGGTAAGCAAGCTGGTGCAATGCTTCTTACATAATGCATTAGGTGCCGTATTAACAGCCACACTCAAGTGTGGCTTAAAGAGAGGAAGAGACAGAAGGAAGAGGAGGGAGTAAACCACCAACAGCTGCACAGTTATAGGGAACTGACTTGGCTTATTGAAAGGAGTCTCTGACATATGCTTCTCTGTTATTTGGTAGGGCAGTGTTTCTCAACCTTGACAATTTTAAGGCATGTGGACTTCAACTCCCAGAATTCCACAGCCAGGGGCTGTGGAATTCTGGGAGTTGAAGTCCACATGCCTTAAAATTGTCAAGGTTGAGAAACACTGTGGTAGGGGAAGAGGTTAAAAAAAAAGGTTAACCAAAGTCTGAATTGCCTGTTCAAACTGATTTCCCCAATGCAGTAATGAATTATCTCTTAATTACTACACCAGTATTGTGTGATCCATGCATGTTGACTTAGAAAGAAATTGCACAGAATACAATGGGATTTTTTTTCTCAGTTAAATACAGTACAGATATGACTGCTGTCTGGAGAAAACTGGTTTTATTCCTACCAGCAGATGGCTCTTTTTAAAAATTTCAATAAGTGATGTTTATAGAATATAGTTTAAGATTATTTACATTCTAATATTAACTTAAGAGTATTGAAAATGGGAAACAGAAAAGATATTCTATCAATATTAATTACAGATGGCTCTTTTTTTCCACTGGACATTATTATTGCAAAGACAAAGTTCATGTTACTGGTGATGTTATTATTAATGCGCATTTCAATCTCATTAATATGTAGTGTTAGTCATAATAAGAGGCCAAGTGGGAGAAATTGTTGCCGGTGCAGATCAAATGCCAGGCCTATAGCTTGCTATTACCAAAAGGCTGCAACCTCACTCGTCTGCTCCAACAGGAGGAACAATAAAATGTTATTGGAAATATTAAATGAAATCAGAAGAATAACCTGCTGAGAAGGAAAATAGATGATTACTAAACACTTGAGGTTGATTAACTCCTCCTTTTAATTGATTGACTATGTAATTAACAGACTGAAATAAAATATAGGATAAATTATGCAGGTGGCAAACCTTGAGGGCATTAATGAGAGCTCACGTTCTGTTGACTGATCAGAACAGAGAAATGGTTTATTCCAAGAATAATAGTTATTTACTACAGTTTATAATGCTGAATTTGAAGTGTATGTCTATCAGGTTGGGAAAATTCATTCTTAATGCAAACATATCAAATCTCCAACTAAAAACTTTTAGAACAGTGAGATAGTAGCTCTAATTTTTGGTAATACTACCGTTCTTTTCTCCTTTCTTCACAAAGTTAGCCCTTTCAAGCAATCAGAACGCCACAGAGAGTTCCTGAGATATTGTTGGGTCATTTCCCATCAGTTGATCTTGCACATATTCTTTTCAGAAATGTCACTAAACATAACACTCCCAAGTTCTTTAAAAATCTACATTTAATATTCTGGTGAATGATTTATTTATTTGATTGCACTGGTAACTTGATTAATGCAGCTGTCATTAAGTAAACATATGTGCACAACAGAATAAATTTATAGAAAGGGGTTTTAATGTTTAGGATGTGGTTCTGTGAGTACTTGACAGCTGGCCCTATTGGATACTACAGGGTTTAGCTCCAAACTTGTAATACTTATACTGTTAGTGAAGTCCAAGTTTAATTATATCTATTGTATCTGTGGCTATTAAATGGGATCTGCACTCTAATTACATGTCTTGTTTGGATAAATGCTCTTTTGTCATCATTAATCTAATGGAATCCCCAAGGCATTTATTTCTTTTCTGTAAAATCATTTATATTATGCTTTTCACCTAAAATTGGGCCCTGACCAAGGCTTACCACAGATTTAATATTAAATCAACTCACAACAAATGACAAGAACAGAAAAGCAAAATCAGAAAGTATCCAGTGAAATTCCCAAAGGTGCTTTTTCCAAAAGGCAACTGGACTTTCTTGGATTTTTCTTTGAAAATGTTTCACTTCTCATATGTTAAATGTTGAACTGAAGAAAATTCTTGGATGAGAAGTGAAATGTTTCAAAGAAAAAAACCAAAAAGGTCCAGTTGCCTTTTGAAAAAAGCACCTTTGGGACAACCATAAGCTGGATGATTGAGACTCTCCATGGACATATCCAGTAAAAAGACTAACCCAGTGATGGCGAACCTTTTAGAGACCGAGTGCCCAAAACCCGGCCCACCCCTGCTCCGCCTGCCCGCTCCCACCCTGCTCCGTCCTCACGCCGCCCACCCTCAGGGCCATGCACGGCACACCGCAGATCACCCAGGCGGTCCTGCAGCTCCATGGTGGCCACGCCCTCCACCTGCACCCCGCAGCATCATCTGCTGCCCAGCTGCCATGTGCTTGGCTGTGCAACTCCGCACGGGCCACACCCAGGGGTGACTCTTCTCCGGGGGGGCTGCTGATGAGGAGGGGGCTACGGGGGGAGGCGGGGCTGGGGCAACAGCGTGCGTGCCCACAGAGAGGGTTCTGAGTGCCGCCTCTGGCACTAGTGCCATAGGTTCGCCACCACTGGACTAACCAATTATTGGCCATCTTCATTAAAATTATGCTCGACAAAAACAGGTTTGGGTTGTCTTCCTAAGGCCCTCAGTAAGCTGTGTCATGGAATCTCTTCTTAGCTGTCTCTGCAATGCATGTACTTCCAGAGGTATTTGGCTTCTCTTTATTCCAGAGAAGTGCCTCTGAATACACCTGTATGTGAAACTAGCCAGGAGCAACTTTCAGAATAACTGTGTGAGCCTTGCAAAAGATTTAACTGCTCCTGAAATTGGAATAGAAGTGCTGTGCTTGAAACTTTCAGGCGGAAGTAGCCCTTTCAAATAATATATCCAGTTGTAAAAAGCATACTAAGACCAAGTGCAGTTTGAAGCATTTCTGCAACATTGTTGTGTTTTCCAAAATGTAGTACTTTATTTTTCTCTTTAATACTGAACAACAGGTTACTAGGTATCTGATGCAGCTACAAGATGCAAGATTAACAACTGCTATGTTACGAAATACTCATTTTTAGAAAGATTAAAAATGCAATTTATTCTATGTACTTCCAACAAGCTATAAATACATTGTTAGTTTTGAAGTAAATTTAGAAATGTAATTGTCAATTACCTACAAAAGTCGGAGTAGACATCAGAATACATGAAAGAAGATCTATATTTTCCCTAATGTATATTTTTCAGACTGCTTTATTGTACACTAGAAAGAGATACCTGAATATATTTTAAATTTCTTGAAATAAATATTTTAATTATTGCAATGCATCTAGAATAGTGACTAGCAGTTTTATTTACTGATTCATCAAACTAAAAATTGAACAAAATGATGAAATATGTCCATAAAGACTTATTCACAAAGAGGTTTTATATTTTAAATCCAAGAGAGAGTAAAGGAGACATAGAAGACTCTGAAAATGTACTAGGGCTGGTTACATTCCTCTGAGTGTCCTGGTAAGAAATCCCTTCCAGATCACAAGTTCCTCTAGAAACAAATAAAGTTATAACTAGTAGCCAGCATGGGTTTGTTAAAAACAGATCATGCCAAACCAATCTTATTTCATTCTTTGACAAAGTGACTAAATTAATAGATCAGCAAAATGCTTGGACATAGTATATTTAGACTTCAGCAAGGTATTTGACAAAGTAGATCACAACCTACTACTTCTTGGTAAGCTAGAAAAATGTGGGATAGACAGCATCACCACCAGATGGATTTGTAACTGGCTGACAAACTGTACTCAACGAGTAGTCCTTAATGGTACTACGTCTACTTGGAGGGAAATAAGCAGTGGGGTACCACAAGGTTCTGCCTTAGGCCCTGTACTTTTCAATATCTTCATAAATGACTCAGATGAGGGAATAGAAGGGGATCTCATCAAATTTGCAGATGACACTAAACTGGCAGGAATAGCCAACAAGACAAGCTCAAAATCCAAAAAGATCTTGACAGACTTGAACAATGGGCCCTATCCAACAAAATGATATTTAATGTGGAGAAAAGTAAGGTTTTACACCTGGGCAGGAAAAACCAAACATACGAGAACAGATTAGGTGAAACCTGGCTCAAAAACAGCAATTGTGAGAGGGACTAGTGGACAATCACTTAAAAATGAGTCAGTAGTGTGTGGTAGCAGCCAAAAAAGCTAATACAATCCTTGGTTGTATAAACAGAGGCATAGAATCAAAATCACATGAAGTATTAGTATCATTTTATAAAGCCTTAGTAAGGCCCCATCTGGAATACTGCATCCAGTTTTGGTCACTACATTACAAAAAAGATGTTGAGACTTTGGAAAAAGTGCAAAAAAAGAGCGTCTAAGATGATTAAAGGCATGGAGACTGAACGGTTGCAGGATTTGGGAATGGCCAGTCTAGAGAAAAGAAGGACTAGGGGGACATTATAGCAGTATTCCAGTATTTAAGAAGCTACCACAAGGAGGAGGGGGCAATTTATTTTCAAAAGCACCAGAAGGTAAGACAAGAAATAGCAGATGGAAACTAATCAAGGAGAGAAGCAACCTGGAATTAAGGAGAAACTTCTTAACAATGGAGACATTTAACCAGTGAAACAGCTTGCCTTCAGATGTTGTGAGTGCTTCATGACTCAAGGTTTTTAAGAAGAGATTGGACAGCCACTTGTCTGAAATGATATTATAGAGACTCTTGCTTGAGCAGGGGGCTGGACTAGAAGATCTCCAGCTCTGTTCTGATTCTAATTCTATGCCAATGTCACTGTCAGTGATTGGCAGCACATCTCCAGTGTTTTAGGTGAGAGGTTATGTGGCTCAAAAAGGAAATTAAGCTGGCATTTGTCTAGTTGTAAACCTTCTGCTCTACAATATAGTAAAATGCCTCTCCTTCTCCAAAAGCTGCAAGCTGTCCTAATGAATCAAGAAAGTTTTGGCTTAAATCTTGTTTGTAACATGAGCTGATAATGTGGTCTTTGATAAATTATTCTTTATCAGCCTTGCTCCTTTCTTCTTAAACACAACTGACCAAAGGAGAGAAGCAACTTGGAACTAAGGAGAAATTTTTAGAACAATTAATCAGTGGAAAACCCTGCCTCCAGAAGCTGTGAATGCTCCAACACTGGAGGTTTTTAAGAAGAGACTGGACAGCCATTTGTCTGAAATGGTATAGGGTTTCCTGCCTGAGCAGGGGGTTGGACTAGATGACCTCCAAGGTCCCTTCCAACTTTATTATTATTATTATTGTTGTTGTTATTAATAATAATAATTCAGGATAGCCTTTTTGCAATAAAACCTTTCTGGTCTGTTAATCTCTAGATATGTTGTGACTACAAGAGTTCTAGAAATCTGAAAGGATGTTTAAAAACAATGCAGGGCAGATCTTATTCATACAGTAGTGGCCAAAATTGTGGAAACCTTTTGGGAAAAGTGTACAGTAGAAATACCACCTTTGGTTAAGTTTCCACCATTTTTTCTTCTAATTTCTTTATAACTGTAGCCTTGTTCACTTAATAATACTATTTTACATCGCTTTCTGGGCAACCAGTCAACTCTTTGCACCATTACTTTAATTTTATTATGTTTTATAAGCTCACTAAATGAAAAAAAACCCAATCAACTTGATAGTGATCACATAACACACTGACAAATGTCCTCCTCTCAGCTTCAATATATGACATCAATAACTGAATCCTACTGTGATCTGATTGGCTCATTGCCAAAACAAGATGACACCTGATTGGCTTTTTAAACACTCATGCTCATTGGCTACAATCAGATGAAGGAAAACTACCTGATATCAACCTAAGCAACTTGTGCTTCCTTTTTCTGGTTATTTGGCCATAACTTTTCATAGAATACAGTACAGATAATTGAACAAACTTTGTTGCATTACATTCTTGATTAAATTATCTTTCCATTGATATATAATTTTATGGTAGTACTCCAAAGAAAAGTGGTGTTATTAGCCACCAAACCTCAAAAATACACTTTTCCCAAAAGATTTCCACGATTTTGGCCACTACTGTACTTGGAAATACATTCCAATGCACATTTGGGTAAGGGGGGCATTTCACTTGATCAAGCAAGTGGTACATATGTGAAAGCCAATCTCTGATTTACAGATCTTGCAACCTGCATTAATGTATGACAGCATGGAAATTGTTAGTTCATATCCCTCTGTAAGGAAAACCGCACTGCAGTCCTAGTGGTGCCCAAAGGTGCATTGTAATGTGTAGCTTCTGTCATTTTCCAGGAGTTCACAGAAAGACTTAATCTGAATTAAGCATGAATATTAAAAAAAACTAATTCTCAATCGTAAAGTTTTAAAATATTTAGAACTTTGATTTTACTGTATATTCATGTTACATTGGAAATTATAAAGCTTTTTTATGGTGGGAACTGACTTCTGTGGACAAACTTCTAATATTTTTTAGAATTACAATTAAAATTACATAAAGCATTACATTTTTAGGTATCTACTGAAGAGATTTTTTTAAAGTGTACATCCAAAAATATCAAGAATAGGCAAGCAGATGCTGTTAAAAAAAACTGTGATGGATTTGGGATTTGCTGCTATGTAATATATCAACTGTTCTTTACGAGTCTCTTGGCATGGCAGAGACTGTGGGAGTGGATGAGATTAAAACATCTTTCGTTTTCTATTCCTAAACCTGTAGAATTGTACAATTAGCAGAATTGTTTTCATTTTTTTAACCTCCTTTTTAAAATCTTCCACCTGATTTTTCTAATTTTAAGAAATATTCATGTCCTTAAAAAAGAAGATATCTTGCTAATAATGCTCCTGACTGTCACCTAATCTTTCTTTGCAATATTAAATTACTATTGGTGAAAACTCATACTGTTTGCTTGTTACTTTTAGATGTAAAGAGTATAGTTTAAAATGCATGGCCTTGTTCACCTAAAGGAAAGGGGGTGGGTGGGAAAACACAACAGAAAGAAACAACATGGCGAGATGTGCCAGCTGAACACCAGCTGCGCAGCCTCTTGCCAGGGGACAACACCTGCTGTGTCTATTCCTTGTCAGTGTGCCTGTAGGCTTAGTTCAATCATACATTTCAAAAACCTGCAATAAAATAATATGGTTAGCTGGAAAAAGCCTCCCTCTGTCTCAGGAAAAATAGTTCTCAAGCAGTAGGTTACTAAGAAAATGAGGTTTTCACTAAAGATGATGGCAGTGGGAAACACAGATTATTATATGTTACAATGGCATATGTTATTGGGATATCTTGCTGAGTGTGTTTCTATGCACATCTGTCAACCCAGGAGAGAGTTGGAAGCTTGTCCTTGTTATTTCTGACAGCTGAGGAATCTTTGGAGTTAGCCGATCTTTTTAGGTCCTTTATTCTTGTCCCAGAATGTTCTTCTAGTTTAGTGTTCTGAAAAATCACACTGACTGTTGGTCATCCTCTTCTATTATCACTAATAATTTCCCCCATAAACCTCATTGTTCTCCTCTTCTGTCTCATACAGAATGTCAAGGAAAAGCTTGGTTAGGAGTCTATGATAGTTGCTATTAGCAAGCACTATTATTTGGGCACATATCCTATTATTACTCAGAAAATCTGAAAGTATTATAGCTGCTTCTTTGAAAAAGAGTTTCTTAGTAATTCTCCAAGATCCATCATTATAATTATTTCTTATATTGCAATTGACAAGACACTAACTGAAAAAGAGAGAAAATGGCTTCTTTCAATTGAATTCATGTCTGCAGAGATTTAAGCTTTTAAAATATTTGTTTCTGACCTGGTTTAGTTTCAGGTTAACACCATTTTAAAAAATGCTTGAGTTACTAATCAAAATCTCTAAGAAGTAGAACCTAACAATTTGCACTACCTACCGGTAGTTGGGCACCTACAGCTAGAATTTATCATACTGAGTCTGAGCTGCAAAAGACTGAATGACAGCAAGAAGATGGTGTTTTCCATATCTTCTTGCCATCTAGATGTGGTCCATATTTTGATAAGGCTATCACAACTGACACGGTTAATAATTGATCCCAAAGACCTGTTATCTGAGTGCTAACATGTCATAGACACAGTCTTTTATAAGCAGATTGTACCTCCTATCTGCATAATTTCATCTCACGTTGAAACTACAGTATATTAGGGGCATTCTTTGGGGTCAGCAAGTTGGTGATGAGAAAGATCAAACTTTAAACTGGACAACACTTTTCTGTTTCTGCCACCCACATTCCCATTTCTCTTTCTCTTCTTTTGTTTCAGACATCACCTTTCCCTTCTCTTCCCCTTCCCTTCCATCAGTAGACTACTGGTGAAATATTAGATTTAATCAGTGATCTCTATATAATGTTTGCTATAGGATTTGAAATTAGACCAAGATTTGCATATTGCCCAGATCAGCAGTAACTTTGGAAGAACCATAAATGTGCTCTTTTAAGAGTATGCCCTTTCTGCTTGTAAGATAATCATCATTTTAATCATTATTAAGGCTCGCTTGCCTGTCCAGTAAGATCAAGTAGATTCAGTGTGCTCTCAATCTAATAATTCTATCTAGAGGGATCCAGGAAGTTTGTCTTCTTTGTTGCAGCACCTGCCCACTGGAATGTTACCCTGACACCATCCCAAACATCCATTTGGCTCCCACCCAGATAGTGTTCCAGAAATCTTTAAAAATGTGGTTGTTCTCCCAGGCCTTGTGGTAGGCTACTGGTGGTGCCCCTTTCAGTTGTGAGGGTTTTGGTAGATGGTGCAATTGTCTGGATTGTGTAAGATTTTATTTTTTATTTTTTTCTGTGTTTCAATTGCCAGATTCATTCTGGAATTGGGCAACCTATAAATCTCCTCCACCTCCACCTCTTCTTCCTTATCATTCTGCTGACCAGTTTAACCATCAGCTTGGTTTTTGTAGTTGCCTCTCTGGAAGTTATGAGGAGGTTGAATGTCACACTATGTGGCCCATCAACTAAGTTCAGTAAATCCTAGATAACAATCTGTCCCATTTCCCCTTTCCTTTTCTTCTTGTCTCTATTGATTCATTTATGGGTCTCTCTACCACCCCAGGGGTTTTATCTGTCTCTGATTCCATAAACTTCTATGTTTCTATGGCTAGTATGGCTTGCATGGGTCAAGATCTGTGCTCCAGTAATGAATCTATAGTCAAAAGTTTCTGTCTCCTCACCGTTGCCGTTCTTTTACCCTCCACCCCACACATTTTGGACAGGATGAGAAAACTTTGGCTGATTCTCCATCTGCTCAAGAGTCAGGCTGCCATATGGGTGAAACACAGAGCAATATGAGCAGTTTTAACAATGATAGAAGTGACATACTTGACAGATTCTTATTCCCAAAATCCAGAGTCACTATTACTGCTAAATCTTTCACTAATGATCATAGACTTTCACCTGGTAGGATTCAAATGTGTTGCAGCTGGGCACCATGTTAGGAAAAGCTAGCTTTTTGTCAAGCATATCACCATCTTATAGCAGTGAATTCTGATACTTGCTAACCTTGAATTCATTCCAAAGAATTAGAATTAGAGATTCTATTAAGACGTCGCAAAGGATATTTCCTCTAATGTTTCTCCCTTTCTCTCATCAATTTAGCTGGAGGAAGGAGAACGTTTCGCCAAGATGGTTGTTCGCATGGGAGAAGATGCTGGAGAATTCCTAGCAAAGGGTTTTTTAGCATTAGGCCTGACATACAGCCTTCAAGCAACTGATGGTAATCTTTTGATTTGTCAAATGTGATCTGCACAGCTATTGTTTGAAGAAGTCAGTTTAAGCATTTAAATATTAGACATGTTAAGAATTAACCTGTAGGCACATAGTTGTCTGGTCCAGCAATATGTTGCCAACTTCTGCTTTACAAAATCTATTTGTTTTATTGATGCCAATATTTCATTATGCCTTTCTGTTTCTAAAGCAGCTAAATTATCATGACATAATCTTACTAAGCCAATATAAAAAAACAATAAAGAAAAATGTCTCTTGGTGATCATAAATAAGTGATGAAGCTAATTCCTTTCACCTGAACATAGGTGAGGATTCATTGCTTATGTCCAACAATCTGGTATTCCAAAATACTTTCCCTCTGTATCTGTTGTTGTCAACTATCACTGTTGATCAGTTCTAACTTCCATTGTTTATGGAATTAAAGAACTGCTGTGGACATTGAGGTTATTTGATTTTATGTAGATATTTATTTCATTAAACATATTATAACTGAGGTTATTTGATTTTATGTAGGTATTTATTTCATTAAATGTATTATAACTGCTCAATCCAGACTCTAGATCAGGGATCTTCAAACTTGGCCCTTTTATCACTTGTGGACTTCAACTCCCAGAATTCCTCAGCCAGGCACACTGGCTGAGGAATTCTGGGAGTTGAAGTCCACAAGTCATAAAAGGGCCAAGTTTGAAGATCCCTGCTTTAGATGGATCATCTCTTTGAAACAAGATAGCAGGACTAAAATGCCATACTTTGCTGCCAAATGTGACTTATTTAGTCTATTAAATTTAACAAATTTTTGGTGAATTGGTTCTATCACTTAGACAAGAAGTTTCTTTAATCTTTAACTGAAATGTTTCCTCTTGTGCAAGTATATTTGATATAATCCTGGCCTCAGACCAGCAGAAAGAAAATTCATCACCCTCTTTTCAAATTCTTCTAGTATTTTTTCTGCTTTTCTAGTATTTGAAAACTTCCTTTATTTTCCCCGTTACTTTTTTCGAAGCTAAACATAGTCCAATTTTTATCATACCTCCAGCTATCTTTGTTGCTGTCTCCTGCACTTCAATTTCAATTTACAGGACACATACTGTGATAATGAAAGCTGGAAAAATGAAATGGAATAATTGTTTAAAATTCACCCAGCTATGGAAAATAGTTGGATTTAACTCTTTATTGAAGTAAAAACTCTGTTTCTGGCTTATATGAACAGAAAATGATCTTGCAAACTAAAGAATCAATTTTTATTATAATCTGCATTTTTAAAAGTATCTTATCTGAAGCTGAACATTGATACTCACTGGTAACCAAGTACCAAAACTCATCACTGATTATATAAAAAAGGTATACCATTACTCACCAGTCCCATCTTGCTTTCCAAAAGGCAACTAGTTTTTCCTGTCATACAGCATCACGGTCTGGTTTGGAAGCATCACTGCTTCGAACAGGAAGGCAGTGCAGAGAATGGTGAGGATGGCTGAAAAGATCATTGGCAGTTCCCTCCCTCCCTCCCATCCAGGACATAGCACAGAAGCGCTGCTTGAGCAGGGTCCGTAAGATTGTCTGGGACACTACACATCCTCTTCACAACCTGTTTTCTTTGTTACCTTCTGGGAGGAGCCTTCGTGGTATCCGAAGCAGAACATCCAGATTCAGCCAGAGTTTCATTCCATACAGCATTAACCTTGCGAACGCTCAAGCTTCCTCCTTCCATTATATATTCAAGATGGACAATATTTAATATTTATTGCTACGTATATGTAGGGATGTGGGTCTATACATATGTTGTTCATAGTATGTTTAGGTGTGTGTCATGTATATGTTTCACTTTGAGAGCGGGCAACTAAATTTCATTTTTGATGTGTGCCATTGTGCCCACAGTATAAAAATGACAATAAAGGTTATCTTATCTTATCTTTTTTCCTTGAAGATGTTTCACTTCTCATCCAAGAAACTTTTTCAGAACTGAAGAAGCTTCTTGGATGAGAAGTAAAATGTCTTCAAGAAAAAGCAAAGTCTAGTTGCCTTTTGGAAAGCACCTTTGCGATAACCATGAACTGGATGATTGAGAATCTCCATAGACATTACTCAACAGTATTGCGCAGATAACTATGGGAGCCATCCTTGTTGTTATACAGTACAAATGATCCCATAATAATCTCACACTGAAGGATATAGAATTGGAAAGATTAGCAATTATATAATCCATCACTTTTCAAATGCAACAGATTCTACAGATAAAGCCAGAGGAAAAGAAGACACTTAACCAAATGATGGATAATCTCTAGTATCTAAAAAAGTGACCCACTGAAATTTAATTTGACACAAGGTGCCAGGAAACATTTGCAATCCAGCTTTATCTTCCTTCTTGATTCCTTTTTCATCTCCCACATTGCCCAACTGTCTACAGAAAGACATCTGTAATTCTCTTTTGTCCTACTTGATATCACTGACATAATCGCACTTGCAGCTTTAGTTCTAACTTCCTTAATTTATTTTTGCTTCCTATGTGGTAGAGGTTGGGATGATACCATGTGAAACTTGAGCTGATTTAGCTGGAGCTTCAGGAGAGCAGAAGAATGAGTGAAGATGCCATTCAGCCAACCTCTGTCATTGCTTATTTATGCTCTGGCCAGGAGCCAAAGTCTATCCCAAAAGAGTTTATGTCATCTCCAGAGGACATTTGTACTCTTTGACCCTTTGGCAAAGTTTTGTCCCTTCTTTCTCAAGCAGCAGACTCTTGACACGTCTTCTATATCAAGGGGACAGCAGGTGCAGTCCCTCAGCTTTCATTTTCAGGCAGCCTTCCAAGAGCTTTGCACAGATGATCATGCAGAAGTGCTAGATTCAACATAATCTTTTGAAATCTGTCTCTGGAAAATGGTTGACACATTAGGTAAAGCGAGGTAAATGTTTTAGGGAGACAATTTTGTGTCCAGCTAAAGTGTGTTAACCGTAGTTCAAGCAATAATAATTAAACACACTAAGTGCAGTCAACTTAACATTTTATTAAGCCCCAAAAACCTGGAATAATAGGTAAAGTAATTTAATAGAACTACAAAGGAATTATTAGAACAATTTAATAGGAGAGTCATTTATCCACATTCTTGGAAGAAAATATCGCCCAGAAGTCAGTTTGTTACAATGAAATCACTAAAAATTAAGCTTCAAAATCATAAAACCACCAATACTAATAACTACCTGCCCCTAGTATCAGAAAAGAAAGAATATGATGCCCCCCCATCTCCCGATTTGGCAAAATAAAAAGACAAAGTTTTTGGATTTTATTTCTCTTTGGGCAGTGGTTTTCTGTTTTATCATCACATGACTACCATTGTGACTTTCTTCAGAAGGTGATTTCACAGAGAAGGTGTAAGGGAAGAGAAAGGCTCTGAGAAAGGCCATTTGAAAAAGACCTGCCTGAGGTTATGGAATAAGACTGAGAAGAAGTGCTGTTATTCATGTTTAATGGATCGATTCTTTCACTAGGATTGGGGAGATCTAGATTATAGTCTTCTCTTGGGGCATGAAGTTGGCTTGACTTTGGAGCCACCTATACCTTTGAGACTAACCATCATCAAATTTGTGTGGGGGGAAATGATAGAGAGAACATTTTAAGATCCTAAATGCAGAAAAGTCATACTGAAAGGAGATATTCCCTAACCCTGATATTTTATTTTTGTCCTGATACTACCTGGATATTCTTTATAATAAAAAAAGTGAATAATGGTATCTGGTTTCTAAATAACTGGAAATGAGACAGGAAATATTTTTTCCAGCAAGATTCTTGAAGAAAAAAGTCTTAAAATAAAACATAACATTCTTAAGGAAATGCTGTTTGAGGACCCATGTCAGACTGTTTGTATAACTTTTTAAGAATAAAGAGCTCCCAACTATTCAGATGTACTGTTTGGAATAATGCTTACCCTGATGTATTAATTTTTATTGTTTTGCAGCTACCCTGAAAAGCACACAAGATGACTTGCATCAGAGAGCACTTCAGAATTTAGAAAGGTGAGAAGAACCTGGGGGTGGGGAGAAAACCAGATCCCAGCTGGCAGAAATTTGCTTGTTTTTACATTTTAATATGAAACTCGTACTACATTCCTAAATGTGTTCAAATTTTTAAGGATTTCTTTTCCCAAATCTTGATTTTTAGGTTTATAAAGAATACCTTTTTGGCAGCCAGAGGGCATATTTCTGCCTGTAGAACTGGCCAGCATAGTTTTACATGTCTCTGAGCTTCTTGGGATGCGGGAGAAGGGAATGAATGAGGTGGCTTTAAGTGGCACACATTCTTAGACTCAGATGTAACCTCTCTATTACTGTACTATTTAGATATAATTACTGTCCCATATTACTCTTAAACTGCATTTATTTTTAGCCTTTTGACCTTTTCCTGTAAACTGTGGCTTATTTCCTTAATAGCTTAACTTCAGTTTAGAAGTGGATAAATCTTGGATGATATCGATATCCACTTTTATCCGACAGGGGGCACTGGGAGAATTCACTTAGCTCCTTGTGTTCTGAGTAGGGCACATGTATACTTATTAGATGCAGAATTGTGTGTTAGTATTAAAAACCTTACCTTAACTGGAGATGAATAGTGGTTTTGAAAAAAGTTGAGGCCATGCAAAACAGGCATAATTTCACAGAAGTGAGTATAGAAGACCTACTTAAAACTTGTTTTTTAAAAAAGGATTTCAGAATGTTCTGTGTAGAGAGTGGTGTTTCTATATTAATTTAGTTATGAAGCGGTCAAGGATTATATAAGTATCCTGATTTTGTACAATAAATTTTTCAGAAGTCTACAGCCTCCCTAGGGTCTTACTCTTCAATTAAATCACCTAGAACAGAAGTCTCCAACCTTTCTGGTCTCGCGGACCGGAGGGAAGGAGAGCAGCTTCAAAATTGATGCATCCACATACATGCATGCGCACGGGGCAATGCACATTGGCGCAGCACTAGCAGCCCCGTTTGTGCATGTGGCATGCACTGGCACCGTGCACATGTGCAAACAGGCCGTGCAAACCACCCAGTCTAGCAGCACATGCGCAAACAGGCTGCAGACACCGGCCCCGTGCTAGCATCCCCGTTTGTGCCTGTGCGCATGTGCAAACGGGGCCGCGGGCACTAGTGCGAGTGGGGGGGGAATGCACACCCATGCATGTGTGCACTGGCCAGCCATTTCCATGGCCTGCTGGCCAAGAGCCCACAGCCCGGTCCTGGGCCGTGGACCATAGGTTGGGGACCCTTGACCTAGAAGATATCCCTTCATTGGTCTTTTCAATAATCTAACACTAAAGCAGGTTAGAAAGAAAGAAACTGAGTGACCAAAGATTAAACCTGGGATCTTATTAGTGGAAGTCTGTAGAAATCTATATTCCATGAATGGCACCCTCCCCTAAATTAGCAATTTTTCCATTGTGCATATAATTAATATTTCACTAAGATTTCACAATACGATTATTTAAGAAAATAATTTCTTCAGCATTTTGTTTCCTTAGTTTAAGAACATATAGAAGTCCATTCTTCAGCTTCCATAATCCCCAAAAGGTAGAATCATCCAAACCACAAGAGATTTTTGGATATATGAAGAAGCTTCCTTATTTTGCTAAGTGCTTAAGCATATATAAAAAAGGGAACTGTCAATCTCCTTCATTCTTCAATAAAGTGACTAAACTAGTAGACCAGCAAAATGCTGTGGACATAGTATAGACTTCAGCAAGGCATTTGATAAAGTAGACCACAACCTACTCCTTGGTAAGCTAGAAAAAGGTGGAATAGACAACATCACCACCAGATGGATCTGTAGCTGGCTGACAAACCATACTCAATGAGTAGTCCTCAATGGCACTACATCCACATGGAGAGAAGTAAGCAGTTGGCTACCACAAGGTTCCGTCTTAGGCCCAGTACTCTTCAATATCTTCATAAATGACTTAGATGAGGGAATTGAAGGGGGAACTCATCAAATTTGCAGATGACACCAAACTGACAGGAGTAGCCAACACCCCAGAAAATAAACTCAGGATCGAAAAAGATATTGACAAACTTGAACAATGGGCCCTATCCAACAAAATGAGTTTCAATGTGGAGAAAAGCAAAGTTTTACATTTAGGCAAGAAAAATCAAAGGTATAAGTACAGATTGGGTGAGACCTGGCTTAAAAACAGTAACTGTGAGAGGGACCTTGGATTACTTGACTATGAGCCAGCAATGTGCAGCAAGAACCAAAAATGCTAATACAATCCTGGGTATATAAACAGAGGCATAGAATCAAGATCATGTGAAGTATTAGTACTGCTTTATAAAACCTTAGTAAGACCAGTGGTGGGATTCAGATATGAAACAACCAGTTCTCTGTGTGGATGCCGCTTCCAAGTCCGTTCTGGACCTGGGCAACCAGAAATTAGCTACCGGTTCTGCTGAACTGGTGCGAACTGGCTGAATCCCACCACTGAGTAAGACCACACCTGGAATACTGCAGCCAATTTTGGTCACCGTATCACAAAGAAGATGTTGACAGTTTGGAAAAAAATTCAGAGAAGAGCAACTAAAATGATCAAAGGCTTGGAGACTAAAACATACGAAGAACAGCTGCAGGATTTGGGTTTGGCTAATCTAAAGAAAAGAAGAAATAGGGGAGACATGACAGCAGTATTCCAGTATCTGAGGGCTGCCACAAGGAAGAGGGGGTCACATTGTTCACCAGAACACCAGAGGGAAGGACGAGAAACAATGGTTGGAAACTGATCAAAGAGAGAAGCAACCTGGAATTAAGGAGAAACTTCCTCACAGTGAGGACAATTAACCAGTGGAACAGCTTGCCTCCAGAAATCATGGGCTCTCCATCACTGGAGATTTTTAAGAAGAGACTAGACAAATACCTGTCTGAGATGATATAGGTTCTCCTGCTTGAGCAAAGGGCTGGAATAGAAGACCTCCAAGGTCCCTTCAGCGTCTATTCTATTCTGTTCTGTTCTGTTCTATTCCTAACAGATTACAGATGCATAGCTTGTTGGCTCTTCTGAAGCTTAATAGGACACCAGTTGTGCAGGCATGTTGTGGATATCTTTATGTCGTTAATTAAACTGGATACTATATTTTTAAAAGAATGCGAACAAACTGGAATATGCCCAGATATAAAATGCAAAAAGAGTGAGGGAAGACTGAAGCATATTTAGCCTGGAAAAACGCTATTAAGATGGGAGAGATAACTTATGTTCAAATATTTGAAAGTTGGTCACACAATTAAAGGAGCAGATTGCTATTGTTTTAGAAAACAGCATCTGAGCAAGTTAGTTCAAATGACAAAAAAAGGAATTTTGCCTAATCATTGGACAGAATGACTGAGCACTATAAGCAGTTTAGCAATGTAACAAACTGTCTCAAAAGATGGACTTCCCCATATGAAAAACCTTTAAGTAGAGTCAGGATGCCTGTCTGCCAGAACCTCTGTATCAGTTGATTCCTGCATTGTCAGCCAGTTGGATTAGGTGGCCTTTGAATTTTCTTCTCTGGTTCTATGGCTTTCATTTTAATGGGCCAGAATTATGTAGTACTGTATGTCAAGTGAGGCTATTTTGAGTGTTGTGTATAGCTAATTCCTTAAAGCTAAGGAACAAACAAATTAACAAACAAAACAAACAAGGAAGGAACAAGGAACAAACAAATTAACAAACAAAACAAAACTGGGTAGATAGAGCCAAGAGCAATTCTTCAGGGAGGTTATAGATCATGGCAGAGTGTATAGTTTGTATGTAGGACAGCACTGTTTTCCTACCAGCATGTTAGCCTGTAGGATAGCATTGTTCCAATATTTGAGGGGCTCCTATAAAGATGAGGGGTTCAAACTATTTTTCAACGGACCAAAAGGCAAGACAACAAACAATGGTTGGAAACTAACTAAGGAGAGAAGCAACCTACTGTAGGACTAAGGAGAAATTTCCTAACAGTGAGAGCAATCAACCAGTGTGGAACAGCTTGCCTTGAGAAGTTGTGGGTGCTCCATCGCTGGAGGCTTTCAAAAAGAGATTGGACAACCATTTGTCTGAAATGGTATAGGGTCTCCCGCTTGAGCAGGGGGTTGGACTAGATGACGTCCGAGGCCCCTTCCAGCATTATTATCCCATGTTCTATATTCTATGTTCTAGGACATCCTGGGTCTGCTTGTTGTGGGAGTGAGCCAGTGCCAGCCTGACTGAACTACAGGGCTAGATGAACAATTAGTTTGACTTGACATTTCTTGAACCCAGTTTTGAATGGGAGAGAATCTCAGGGGGTAACTTTAGATCTAACTGGGGAAATAGTCTTCTGTGAAACCTTGGATAACTGATATCAATTGGTTTAAACTATACATAAGCACACCAATTGTTTGACATCATTTAAGGAATTAAATGTGTTCTTAGCAACAACTGTGTTTTGCTGTTCCAGTCAAGGACACACCAGAATAGCAAAAACATTCTCTTGACCTGCTATATTGCTTCAGGAACAATAGAGGTGCTAGGTCATCTGTAACCAACTAAGTGGCTGAGGCTCAGCATGCTTCAGATTACCTTCATTTCAGTTTTCAAAGAGAGAACACTGTCAATTGTGCCATATTGCTAGTAAATCCATTTGGTCAAGGAATTAAAGGAGGAGTTCTTGCCAATTGCTCAACAGTTGTAGAATCTGCATTCTTCTTAGTTGCACAGAGGGATTTAAGATATGATAAGAATTCTTTTTATTTGTGGTTTCTCCCTAATGGCCAGGCTTACAAGGTTAAAGAAAGGGGAATGAATGCTCAGTATGCTGGGTATGTACATACATGTTTTGAATATCTGCCTTTTTAAAAGGAAGCTGTATTTTTTCTAAGAGCTTTGATGGGATAAGATTTAATTTAGTATAATCTGTAGATAGCATCCATCTGTTGGAGATTCTAAAATTTGAACTAGTAGCCTTGTGTTCTTGGGGACTATCTGTACTCTCAAGGTTTTAAGGCAAGAAAAGCACAGGGATAATTTGTAACTCCAAAAGAAAAACACACACAAACAGCAAAGGAAAGCATAGCTTTTCATAATAACTGTATATTATTAAGCCCAATAGCCAAAGCCAAGAAGGAAACTTGTTTATACAGTCTTGGCAGATCTGAGAGGTGTGAGGTTAAACCTGCCTCTTGGGCAGAAGATTCCCTAGGCATGACCAAAAGAACAATATGCTTTTTGTACCATCAATAGTTGTTTAAGAAAAGGGTAATTTTTGCTGATGCCATTGGTTTGGGTAATGCTGCTCTAGAGTAGGAAAAAATTCACCTGTTGACATTTGTTGCTTTACACAGTTATTGAAAGCAGTAAAAACCTGACCCTATCATGAACCTGGTAATAATCACTTCATATTCAGTTAAATTAGAATGACTCTTTTTCAGATTTTTTAAAACCAAGACATTCTCTTTAATATCAGGAGAATAGTATCACAGTATGAATGCACCCATTCTAAATTGCTCTGAGCAATATCATTAATGGCATTTGAAGTTTTGAAGTGCCTTCCCTTCCTCTATGTCTATGTCAAAGATTTAATCTTGACTATAATTTGCCTACCAATTGGCATTCAACTAGCATATTATTGGGGGCTTGAGCTGAGCATCTCTCTGTTTGAAACATGAATAATATTTTAGAATTAGAATCATAGCAAGGAAAATATGTGAGGAATCAAAACATTATTTTCTATCAAATGGTCTTTCCACTGTAGTTCTACTTCTCTTGTTAATTGTGCTGTGAGGGTGATGGGGAACTCTGTGTGATTGGCTACTAATTTAAATCCAGCTTAAAATTATAAGAAAGGAAGATGGGACAAGAGCCTTAAAATTGCCTCTCTGAATCTGCCAACTTAAAAAAGGTAAAAAGTTCAGGACAGGTGTCTCAGGGTTCTTGTCTTCAGTCTTGGCAGATTTATAACTGAGACAGACAATTTTCAGAACATGGTGCAGGTGTCTCCTGTGTCCAGGGCTAACAATTGAGTAGCAAGAAGTCTGTTACCACAGAAGGGTGAGAGAAGGACATTGAAACCCTTAGAACAGGGTGCCTGGCTGAGGAATTCTGGGAGTTGGAGCCACAAGTCATAAAAGGGCCAAGTTTGAAGACCCCTGCCTTAGAACTAGTACTGTATGTCAAAGAGGCTGGATTGCTAGATAGTGCAGTAGCTCTCTTTCTTATTGACACTTCTGGTATCTCCAGTAAAAATAAGATATCTATCTGAATTCTGTCCATAACTCTTCTACTGATAGTTCCAGCAGGCTGGTTGAGGGTCTAAAGGAGAGTTATCATTTCTCATCAGGAGGTATCACAGTGTTCACTTGCTCACAATATTCCCTGCTATATCCAAATGTTTTGAATTTCTAGCTACGTAATTATTCCTAAACATGGGTCTGTGCATATCAGTTGACATATCCAGTTTTAATGCAAATCTCTCTCCGTTTGGGGGAAGGGGAATGCGGTAATAGCTACAGTATTAGGTATTAGGTATACTATCCCTAATACAGTATTAGGTATTATCCCTAGTATCCCTTACTAGGAAATATTGAGGAAGTATCTCTGATGCATGGAGAAGAAAGTTAAATCTATCAAAGACAAGGACACTCCACTTTGGTACTGCTGACAAGAAAACTCTATGATCATTACTGTATCATTTTCAGAAATTTGGGTGCCAGATGCGGAGACTCTCAAGGTCAGGTAGCAATCTCTTAGTTACTGGAGAAGAAGATCAAAGTTTTACATGTATGCACTCTTAGGAGGGGGAATAGGAGGCAGGTCACAAAATGTGTGCTGTGACATACGAACTTGCATCAGACATTACAAACACATAACAGTAGAATTTGTGTCATGACATGGCCATACTGTACATATGTTATCATTTTGAAGTTCTGGCAGGGATGATGTGGTCAGACCAAAGCCATAGGAGAGTCTGGTCACTTTTGCAGCCAGTATTGAAAGAGGAGTTATATGATCTACAAGGATAAATACAACTGGAATATGAAATAAGTGAACTTAGTTACAATGGAATATGTCAGAATAAGTGACTATCTAATAACTGTGCTATACAGATATGTACTCCTATTGATGACTCAAGGGAGGGATCCATTGCGGGACCTAATAGTAAATTGTAAGAGGTGCCAAATACAGTGTCAAGAAAGGATGTACAGCTTTTAATGGGTACTTAGAATGTAAAAAATGGAAAAATACAGAACCTGAAATCAAAGGAAGATTTGGATTGGTTAAGCAAAATAATTCAGGACATCCTGACCTGATTTAGGCCTGCTATACTTGGTTCGGGAGATCGAAGGCTCTGATATTTAGAGAGCAACCACAGTCCTTGTAACAATATGAATTTTTAAAGACTATCTGTGATTTTCAGTCTACAAATTCCTAGCATTTGACTTCAGCTCATTGCTTAAGCTCAGTTTTGCCTACTTTGAATATTATTTCTCATTAAGCTTTCTTTGATATCATGAATTTGAATTGGATTTGCTTGATAGATTTATTGTAGCAATAACCAGATACAAGAACCACTTAGGTGTAGTGGGTAAGATCATCAGACTAGAAACTGGGAGACCATGGATTCTAATTTTACTCTAGATTCAAAACCAACTAGGTGACCTTGGGTCAGCCTAGGAAGGAGGCAAGGACAAACCACTTCTGAAATCTTGCCAAAAAAACTGCCAGGCTGCCTTTATTATTTGGGTTCTGTTTAAGTTTGTCAGCCTTTAACAGCAAATAAGAACCTCCATTATATTATCTCACGGTTATGCTTTTCAGTATCAGAGCATATTGATGATACCTCACCCGAAACCAATCGAAATGTCACCTGAACCAATGCACCTACAGAGAATATCCCTGAAAGACCCTTTGCATTCTTGAAAGACCTATGTATTATTATTCCAGATGGTGGACATTTATCCATGCAATCATGTCACAAGAGATTGAACCTGAGATCTGAACCTATTCCTTTATTACAGAAGGATGTAAGCATCATGGTGGATAAATCCACCAACAGCTCATAGCTATGACAGCTATCTGGTGCATCCATATATGGAGGCAGTGTAACATTCAAGTCTGGTTGCAAAAGGAGGACCTCAAATTTTACCTCTGAACTTTGCAGAACACTAATTTTTGTATGAAACAGTTATGATTGTTAGGTTGATCTATTGGGAGCCTTTTTCATGCTTTAATATTCAGGTGATATGTGTTATGGTTTGTTTGTTCACACACAAACATTCATTTCTACTTTCCTTTAGGACTTGCAAGCATTCATGGGCTTCCTGATACCGCCACATTTAATTCTCACAGCTGATTTAGTTGACTAACCATCTAGCAGGGCTGATGCGATATATACTTCAAAGAATTTCATGGTTGAGTAGGCTCTTGAATCTGAATCTTCCTAGCCCTAGAAGTTTACCCACCTACATTTATTAGGTCTCACATACCACAGTTGCTCAATGCCACAGAGCTTGATGGCTGAATGGGTGCTGAAACTTAGTTCTCTCTGATATAAATTTTAGATGTTTTCTGCTTTCCCAAATGGGCTTTTCAGATCAGATATTTTTTCTGATGCAATTTGTGAAGCTTTAATGAAGTATCACTATATAATAACCGCTCACTCCATTAAAATGGGTGATTCTACTTTGTGGTTGATTGTAAGAGTTTTCATCTATCCCTGGTAAATTTATGGTAAATAATTTTTGCAGTGCTGCATAAGCTACATTTGTGTTTTACAGAGCTCATCACTTAGCACCTGAAGACCACCAAATTATCCTCTACATCTCATTGCAGCTGGCTCTTATTAGGCAGGTAGGTAAAATTTCTTCGGCATAGATTTTTACACTGGTCTTTCTTCAGGGTGCTTCAATAGGCCCATATGCATATTGCTATTTACATATATTTTGCTAACTTTCTGAATTATAATTTTATTAAGTCACTTCTTATGCATATTTATGGAAGACATAAAATGACTGGAAAAGCTTCTAGATGAGGGTGGGCAACGTGTAGTCCTTCAGATGTTGCTGGACTATATTTTATACTATTCTTCATCATTGGTCATTGTTATTGGAGCTCCTTGATATCTGAAGTTCACTGAAGTGGAAAGATCATATGCTGCTCACTCCCACACTAGGGTTTCAAGAATTACTGTAGGTTTTGTAACTGAGTTGAATAGTTTTGGGGGTTTTTTTCAAAGTTATTTTACTTACCATGTTATTAAGTTGCATGCTTAGAAGATTGTTTTAAAGCCATCATAGTTTTTTCAGAGAGTTATGCTTTTTAAGAAAAGATTTTCTTTGAACTAAATTTGGAATTGGCTGCTTCTTGCTATTAGTGTTGATTGAAAGTTATTGTTCAACTAACTTTTAGTGTTATATATTGTTGGTTATATATCAGAACAGTCTGGAGGCCCCAGATGCAGTTTAGGATACCCCCCTAATATATTATAAAAATCAATTGATATTTGGGCAGAATTTTCTATACTCATCCTATTTTTCTTTTTAATTGCATGTAAATCTTTAAACCATGCTTGAAGTATAGTTTGAGGCTGCTAGCCAAAACATTTAAAATATTCTGCTTTTGTCAGAGTAGCTCATAGTAAACATTTTAATATATGTTAATATTCTGAATAATCTAAAATATCTAATGTATTCTCTTTCTGATTAACCAAAGGGTGAATGATACCACTAATGTATCTGGCAGATTATATGCCATGATTAAAACTTTCATCAACCAATTTGGTGGCTACTGTTAAAGGAGCTAGATTAAAATAATTGTTCTGTTAATTCCTTGACTTCAAGGTAAGAGTTTAGAAGCCCACTGAGTTTGTTTTTAAGCCTCTATTATTGGTGAGTTCCTGTCATTTAGCAAAATAATTTAGAAGATTGCAACATTTCATGTTTTCTAAAGTTAAAAAAGACTACCTGATAGATAATAATAATAATAATAATAATAATAATAATAATAATAATAATAATAATAATAATATAGTTGGAAGGGACCTCGGAGGTCATCTAGTCCAACCTCCTGCTCAGGCAGGAAACCCTATACCATTTCGGACAAATGGCTGTCCAGTTTCTTCTTAAAAACTTCCAGTGTTGGAGCATTCACCGCTTCTGGAGGCAGGTTGTTCCACTGGTTAATTGTTCTAACTGTCAGGAAGTTTCTCCTTAGTTCTAGATTGCTTCTCTCCTTGGTTAGTTTCCATCCGTTGCTTCTTATCCTGCCTTCAGGTGCTTTGGAGAATAGCTTGACTCCCTCTTCTTTGTGGCAGCCCCTGAGATATTGGAACACTGCTATCATGTCCCCCCTCGTCCTTCTCTTCGTTAAACTAGACATACCCAATTCCAGCAACCGTTCCTTATATGTTTTAAAATGACTCCCCCTTGGAGATCAGACTTGTCCCTCTTCTATAGGTTTTCAAATTTTGGAATTATTTGGAAAAAAAATTCTTGATTTACATTGTACTGCATTGACCTGTTATTATTCTTTTTTACTTTCATTTTTCTAGTCAATTATGTTGGGATTTTTACCACTGATATTTTCATTGCTATTGAGTTGTATATCTTGTAAGTCAAGATTTAGTTGAATTCAGAGGAGTGTAAGTTCAATAAATGAATAAATAAATGTAAAGTAGGTCACCCTTTGTTTATAGTAATGCATACAAGACATGGTTAAATTAAAAAGATAACGTGATTAAGAGATCAGTTGGGTAATAACTTTCTTCCTGTTTTTGTTTAACAGCTTCGAAAATACTTGTCACCTGCTACTATTTAAATACTATTTAAATAACTGAAGTGTTATTTTATAGGATTTTAGGATTGTATAAAGATGTTTTAATATTCCTGCTGGGGAGTTCAATTGGTTTACTCCTTGCAATTAGATTTTAATAACTCTGCCTTTGCTGATATTTTAACTTTAGGACTCTTTTTATTTTGTTGTAGTCAAAAGGCCAGAACAAATGAAACTGATCTGAAAGGATGAATAACTGAGCAATCATTTATATTTATTTTGCAGATTTGTGATGCAATAGAACATCTCCAAGAAGCACTGAAACTGTGTAAGGATGATATGAATTCTCTTCATTTGTTGGCCCTCCTTTTTTCATCACAAAAACAATACCAACATGCTTTGGATGTAATTGATGTGGCCCTTGCAGAATATCCTGACTGCTTCCAGTAAGTGTTGTTCAGAATATATTCCATGTCTCACCCATTTGTGCACATTATGGAGGAGTGATGAGGAAGTTGTGCAATCCAGATGCTGGGTTCTACCCCCTACCCAACAATCTCAGCTGCTGGTTAGTACAAATGGGGGACCAATCCCTCCATTTCTGGTCTAAAGAAAGGCAGTATTTTCTGTACTGTAATGCAGATAAAGATACCTGGGGGAACATACAACACTAAGAAGAACGCAAATGTTAGATGTATGGGGCAAAAGTACAATCTGAAACATCTATAGTTAATAGATTTATGATAAAGGAGCAAAAATGGACTCCTTTGGGGAGACATTAGTCATTTTGTGCCTGTTGTAATGATTTCACTTACTATTAGGTAGCATCCTACATTTCATAAGACAACCAGTATTTTTTGTCAAATCCACTCTTCTTTCTATTAAGATCAGCTAAAAAAAACCTCTGCTTCTTTCTCTCTGTCCAAGATAATGATATTAAGCACAGGGCAGCTTCTTGTTTGTGTTGAACCCAATGTTGTGGAACATTTCCTGGATCCCCAAGCTTAAAAGAAACAGAAGCAAGCTTTTTCTTGGAGGCTTTTACTAATATTTTGTTAGAGAACTTCCGGAATGCATCTGAGTGAAAGCAAGCAGATATAAAACGGTGAATGTTTTCAGTACAGTGAATTCATACAAATCCTCTTTGGCAGATAAATCCTTTTGTTAACAAAAATGGTAACAGCTATAATAATAGCACAGGTTTTCAGTACAGTTATACTTTTCTTTTATCCAGTGGCTAGCCTTGAAAAATATGCTCCAGGTTTTCACTAGGACTGATTCTAAAACAGCTGGATGTGCCTATTAGCTAATATCTGCAAGAATGCCAGCTATAGCGTCTGTTCCAGATAACTAAAGGCACATTACTCTATTTTTTTTAAAAAAAGGGGGGGGGGAGGAGACAGGCAGCCCAGCTGAAGTACAGCATGGAAAAGAAACAAAACTGTCACAAAGGATCCAGCATAGAATTCATTAATTATCCACCAATAATTGTAGTTGCAAAACTGAAATGAAAGCAGGCAAAAAAACCCTGTAGTAACCATTGTTAAAATGCAATGTCACTTTATCCTTGTTGGTTTGATCCAAATCATTGGAGCCATCATATGTGCTTATTTTAGGCTTCTTTAATCCAGTGTCCTCATCTGGACCTTTTCAGTCTGGGTTCAGGCTGGACTATACTACTGAGATGGCACTCATGGCATTTATGGATGATCTCTAGTGGCCCCGGACATAAATCGTACAACTTTCTTGGCTTTCCTGGATTTTTTGGCAGTTTTTGATACCATGGCATTATTCTTCTGGACTGGAGGGATTATTTTGTGGGTTATCCTCCTTCCCCATGGCTGGTTCTAATTAGGGTTGCAGGAGGGATAGGCCCAGCTCCTTGTAGTATGGGGTGCTCATGACTTGTGTCGCTCATTACTCCTCTTTGCATGAAATATCTTCAGGATCTGTAGTGTAGCACATTTGGAGGATAAAAAAGGTCTGTTAAAAAAGAGGTGGCTGTTCATTTTCAAAATCGCAGCCACCATCTTGACTTTTTGACCCAACATAGATGGCCCTGCAATAAATATATCAGTGAAATATGCTTCACTGCATTTGATCCATTGTTCCACTCTCCATACTGAATGCAACTAATAGCTTCTAAACAGATTGGGATGTTTCAAGAAGGTCACATAGGAAAAAATCTTGAAGTGGGGCTGAGATATGAGCACATTAAAATCTTTTATTGTGCTGGTACTCAAGGAAAGGCTGAATGAATGTGAAAGTCATTTTTAATATTACTTTCTTCAGATAGAAATGAGTATGTGTGTGCAAAGAACCGAGAGCCTGACAACTGGAAGGTCAGAAGTAAAACACCAGCAGCCTCCAAGGGAGACAATAGGGGTCAGAAAAATGGCAGCAGTGTTGCAACATTCATTACAAGCCCACCTTTTTTTCCATGTACACTGCAATATCATAGGCACCTCCAAAGGGGTGGAGCTTGCAGTGTGATGCTGCTTTTGTCTGACAAGAAATACAGCAAGATAAACTAATTCTACTTCATTGTACAACTACATTAACAGAATATTACAAGTCTGAAGGCACAAATTTCCTGCCTCCACTTTTAACTGTTTGATCTATTATGGCATATCCTTCAAAAATTTCCTTTTCTGACTATTAAGTGGCTGCAGGCCCCACCTCTTCTTGTCTGATTGTTTCCTAGGCAGCGGCTCTTTCTCTTTTTCCCCCAGGGTCACTCATACATTCCATTACATCAACAAACTGATATAAGGCACTGGGAGCCAATGTATATGCCTATAGAGATAGGTTTTGGTTGATTATGTGGCATAGTTAAGTTGGTGCAGACTCTGAACAACCACATAGATAGATTTTCTCCATGATTATTTGTCAGTAATTCTGGTCTTTCAGAACTTCCAACAGTGCACCCATCACAGCTGTAACTGAATCCATCCACTTTGCTACTGATCTTTCCAACTTTGCCAGCAGCAGAGCCTTTTCCAAAATTTAAAGTCTTTGCATACTATGTCCAAAGTAGGATAATTTGAGCCAGGTCATTTGTGTCTGGAAGAATTCTGGATTGATTTATTTGATGATCTATTGGTCTAATGTGAACAAAGTATCTAATTGGGGGGGGGGAAGAGTCAATTAAAATGTAGACGGAACAGAGGAAGATACAATAGAATTAACAAATGAAGTACGGTATGTTTAGAAATCAAAATAAAAAATACAGGAACTATGGCTCCTTCTATGCTGCAAAAAATAATTTATAATAACTGAAATTAAGCCCTGCCTTTGCCATCAATCAAACTAAATTGCATATTGCCAAGGCTGCCCTGAAGGAAAAATGACTCTGCTATATAATGATTTACCACAGTAAAACAGGCAGGTTTGAAGTGATGATGATGGATTAGTAGTGAAACAATTGAAGAAGAAAAAATCAGCATTTCCTTGGCCTGAACTGGTACCTGAATAATTTCTATGAGTAACTAAGATTAAGCTTAATAAGAATTCAGCAAAAAGCCTCCTTGTTTTAATTTCCTCTAAGACCCCATGAGTGGAATAGAAATAAAAATTATTATGAATGCTCGTGCAGTCAGCTAGATGTTTAGACTGGATTTGGCATTTTTGTCCACCTATTGAATCCTTTCCAAGGACCTGCGATAGGTAGATGTTTGATGATATAAAAGGTATCCTTGCAGGATTTAAGCTGTCCCAAGTAAAACTATTTTTTGCAATTGACTGATGGTGATTTTATAATGCCAACGATGTTCAAGTAATGTTCCAGATGTTTGGGCCTCCACCCAAGGGGATTATTACTATTCATATTACCTTTGCTTTCTTTCACCACTGTTGTTCTACTTCTATTTGCAGGTCTTTTATTTTGTGATTTTCTCCATTTTTTTCTTTTCCATACTGCTATCTCCAGATACTGCTGCATCCACTATCCAGAGTTTTTTTTAATTTTTGTCATTCTTATGAACAGTTTTTGAACATGGTGTGTTTTGTGGCAGGTGCCTGTCTGTTAGAATTCTAAAGTCCCAGAGCAGTTTAGCTTCTTCATTTTCTGGTGCTTTATTTTGTGGTCCTACCAATTCTTGCTTGTAGACAGATGGTATCTCTTGCATATAATCAGATGTACCATTGTTGCTACTTTGTCATGTTGTTGTTTGTAGTCAGTCTGCAGTCTTTTTGCAGAAGCCAGCTGTGCGGTCCACTGTTTTTCAGCTTCTTTTCAGAGGCCTCATTTGCTTTATGTTGCTGTTTTCTCAGTTCTGGTTTTGTGTGCATTTGTTTTCCAGGCTTGGTCTTGTGCAGCCAGAATTAACTCCTTGATCTCTTTCCTCAATTTTCCTGCTTTTAGACATTTCCAGGTCTTCCGGTTATTTGCTTTGCATGCTTGGTTTTTTTTATTTTTTAAATGTACTGGCCACGTAATACTTTGTCTTACCATGACTTTTTCTATTCTTCATTTGGTCTTTCTTATAGACCGGTTTAGTCTCAAAAGTCAGTAAGCCTTCATGATATACTAACTTCAGTGCATCTTCTCCACTGTCCTTCAGATATTTTTCCAATCTCCTTTTTTCTTCTTCAAATGTCTGGTAACTTGCAACATTCCACACCCACCTATATTTCTTGGTTAGTAGAGTTTATCAACATCACTGCCTAGATTAAGGGCATGATTCGTTGTCATTATTTTTCTGGTCTCCCTATCCAGGACTTTTAGTTCTGTTTGAGTCCAGTCCTCTATTCCAGCTGGGTATCTAATACTAGAAATGCCCAGATATTAATTGCCTTGAAGTATTTTCTTCGAGTTTGGACTTTAAGATTTTATTCACCCTGATGTTGTATTCTCTTCTAACCTTCTTGATTTCAGTGTGCTTGCTGCAGTCAGCTTGAAGGATGCCCAGGTATTTGTAGTGATTGTCTTCATCCAGACATCCAGATGTCATTTCCATAGGGCATCTTGATTCCTTCAGTTTTTCGCTATTTTTCCCCTGTTGTTGGTAAGGGTAGCACATATATCCAATCCAAACTCCAATATCTTGACTGTATATGCAGACAACATTAAGCAGTGATTTTATTTCAGATAGTTTTCTATACAGTTTCAAATCATCCATGGAAAGAAGGTGGGATAGCTTGGCAGATGTTTTTAATGTTTACATCCAATGTTTACAGGTCTGACTTGTTCAGTATGGTTGACAGAGGAATCAGTGCAATGACCAATAACAGTGGTGAGAGTGAGTTTCCTTGAAAGATTCCTCTCTTGATTTAACCCCTCCTTGTCTGTCACCATTGACCAACAACTGTGTCTTCCATTCTGCCACTGATCTCTGCTGTTTCTACAGAGTTCTATTATTTCTAGGCCGTTGATTACCCAATTATATAGCAAGGAGTCAAATGCCTTTTTGTAATCAACCCATGTTATATTCAAGTTGGCCTTTCT